AGAGAGAGAGAGAGAGAATTTTTAATATTTATTTTTTTTAGTTCTCGGCGGACACAACATCTTTGTTGGTATGTGGTGCTGAGGATTGAACCCGGGCCGCACGCATGCCAGGCGAGCGCGCTACCGCTGAGCCACATTCCCAGCCCCATCTACCTGAATTTGAGTGTGCAAGTAGTCCCCAAAAGCAGTGAGTTCCAAATTTAGGGAGCAAGGGGGGAAAAAAAGATAAGAGCCGATTTCAAAAAACTAAATATCAAAAACCCTCTTACAGGGAACAAAGGGCCACAACCTCCTGCTCTGAAACTTCACAGAATTCTGGAGGGCTCAGGACCACATGCCCGTGGCCTTAGGAAATCCCTATAGTTCCCTGGATTTGCCTCCTGTGAGAAGACCAGGGAAGAGTGAGCCACAAGGTTGAATGGAGGCCTCCTCAGGCACCACTAACCCCAACCCCAACTTCTAACAATGTGTCTGCATTTATTGTGAGCAAATTCAGGTTGGCTTTGTTTCCAGGATCTGGAAAGGCTATAGGCAGATTATTTAGGAGGCCATTCGACTGTCATAAACTCAGAACCAAGAGACAATGGTTATGAGCTGACAACATACGCCATTAAATACCAGCATTCTTTGAAAATAGGTCACCAGGAATTTCCAGTTAAAAATGTGATGAACACAGATGTCAGATTCTACTCTCTTCCACCACCCTTTCAAAAGAGGGCTGTTTTTTAAAAGACAAATATCCATGGAAACAAAAAGCAAAGAGCCACAACAAAGAAACTTTTGGAAATTAGATGAATAAAAATTAACTTAGGGGCTGGGGTTGTGGCTCAGTGGTAAAGCGATCACCTAGCACTTGTGAGGCCCTCAGCACCACATAAAAAAAATAAAGATATTGTGTCCAGCTACAACTAAAAAAATGAACATTAAAAAAAAAAAAAAACTTAAGCCAGAATAAGCTGTATAATAAACTTGCAATGGGGAATGCTGAAAAATATCTGATTTTCACCACAGGACCCATTCCCACCCCCCCAAGATTCAAGAACTGTTGCACTTATTTACATTTGGAAGCCAGGGTGAAGGATGGAGCCAAAATACAGGAGGAATTAAATCCTCAAAGACTATTTAAGACGTAATTAGGCAAAACCACATGATCATCTTAACAGGTGCAGAAAATACACTTAAGAATCCCACACTCCTTCATGATAAAACCCCTCAACAAACCAGGAATGGAAGGGAACTTTCTCAACGATATAGGGGCATCCCTGAAAAGCCCACAGCTAATATTTCACTCAAAAGTGAAAGGTCAAAAGATCCCTCCTAAGATAAGGATTTAGACAGGGATGCCCACTGTCACGTCACCACTGCAGTCCAATACTGTCCTGGAAGTTATAGACAGAGTAATTATTAGTCAAGAAAAAGGGGGTTGGGAGAAAGCAAACAAATTGAAAAAAATAAATAAAACTACCTTCATTCTCAGATGATATGATCTCATATATAGAAAACCCTTTAAAAAACTACTAGAGCTAATAACCAAAAGCAGCAAAGGTATAAGATACACAATCCACACACAAAAACAGTTGTACTTTTAAACTCTATCACTGAAAAATCAGAAAGTGAATTTAAGACAATTCCTTTTACAAGAGCATCAAAAAGAATAAAAACCTTAGAAGCTGGTATGGTGGTACACACCTATAATTCCAGAGATACAGGAAGATCAAAAACTGCAAGGCCAGCCTGGGCAACTTAGCAAGATCCTGTCTCAAAATAAAATAATAGTAATAAGAAAAGCGCAGGTGGGGCTGGGGAAGTAGGCTCCGAGGTAGAGCTCCCCGGTACTGCAAATAATAAACAAAACTCTCAGAAATGAATTTAACCAAGCAAGTATAAGACTTGTACACTAAATACCACAAAACACTGTTCAAAGAAATTTTAAAAGTCCCACCTTCCAAACTGAAGGATGGAAGACTTAATATTATGATGATGGCAATATTCCCAAAGTAATCTTTAGATTCACTATGATCCTTATCAAAATCCCAATGGCCTTTTCTGCAGATATGGAAAATCTAATCCTTAAATTCACATGGAACAGTGATGGGTCCTAAACAGTAAAAAACAATCTTGGAAAAAGAATAAAGTTGGAGGAAGCACACTTTCCGATTTCAAAACTCACTACACAATAACGTGGCCCTAGCAAAAGGACAGACATATAGACCAACAGAGCAGGAGAATTCAGAACCCAGAAACAACCATCCTACATCTATGGCTAACTGATTTTGACAAGAGTGCCAAGTCCACTCAGTAGGGGGTCAACAAATGGTGCTTTCCACAAGCACAAGGATGAAATTAGGCCCCTATCACACACACATCATGCCCCAAGTCATTTAAAAATGGACCGAAGTCCCATATGTCAGAATCAAAACTATAAAACACAAAAGAAAACAGCTAAGTCTTTGTGACCTAGGATTTAGCAAAGGTTTCTCAGATGTGATACCAAAATTATGAGCAACAAAGGAAACATTGATATTTGGACTCCATCAATTTGAGCACTAAGAGACAGCCTCATATATCTGGTAAGAGTTTGGTGTCCAGAATACGAAATAATTCCTACAATTTAACAAGATAAATAACCCAATTAAAACACAGGAAAGGGGCTGGAGATGTGGCTCAGCGGTAGCTCGCTCGCCTGGCATGCGTGCGGCCCAGGTTCGATCCTCAGCACCACATACAAACAAAGATGTTGTGTCTGCCGATAACTAAAAAATAAAATATTAAAATTAAAAAAAAAAAAACACAGGAAAAAGAAACAAACATTCTCCAAAGATATACAAAAACACATGAAATAATATTCAACAGCACAGTGTCATTTGGGAAATGCTGATCAAAACAAAATGAGATGCCATTTCACACCCACTAGAATGTCCACAATTTTAAAAAAGGAAAATAACAAATGCTGGCAAGAATGTAGAGAAAGTGGAACTCTCATATGTGTTATTGGTGAGAATGTAAAATAATGCAGCCACTTTGAAAAACTTTCTGTGGGCTCCAAGGTAGAGCTGTTTCTCAAAAAGTTAAACAGAGAATTACCATATGACCTAAAAACTCTACTCCTAGGAATATACTCCAAAAAGTGGAAACAGGTGCTCAAATAAAATCTTGCACACAAACGTTCACAGCAGCACTAATTCTTAAGAGCCACCACATAGAAACAACTCAAATGTCCATCAACAGAGGTTAGGTAAATAAAATTGGGTACATATATACAGTGTAAAATTATTCAGCCATAGAAAGGAAGGAAATATTGATAAGTGCTACAGCATGAAGAACCTCAAAGACATTATGTTAATTCAAAAAAAGGCAGACACAAAGGGCCACATGCTGCATTATTCCAATGATAAGAAATGTCCAGAACAGGCAAATCCAAAGGCAATAAACAGATTAGTGGCTGCCAAGGGGTGGGAAGAAAGAAAAATGGGGCCTGACTGCTTAATGGCTACAGGGTTTCCATTTAGGGTGATGCAAAGTTTTGGAACTAAATAGATAGTGGTGTTGATTGCACAACACCATGAATGTACTTAATACCAACTAACTGCACAATTCAAAATGTTTAAGATGGTAAATTTTATGTGCATTTTACCAAAATACAGAAAAAAAGCTGCGAGCTACCATGCCTATCCCCTTTCTGCTCTCACCCCCAAAAATGAAGGGTAAACTGAGGTTCCTCTAGACTCAATGCTTCTCTTCATTGACATCTCTTCCCCTCAACTCTCAAGTGAGGCAGATTCGAGTACCCTTCCCTGAGAATATAAAACTCAGTGAAAAGACCAAAAAGGATGACAGGGAAGGTTCCTAGGGACCAGCCATCACCCCCAGTTGATAAGATCGGGCAGGGTGGGAGGGAGTCTATGAATAGAACACGAGGTCACTGTTCAAAAGGGAAAAACGCTCAAGGGAATTTAAAATAGAGTAGCCAAACTAAAATACAAGCAGGTGCACACCTGTTCGAAAAGACCGAGGTAATCTAGCCGGGAAAACAGAACATAAGTTAGGGCTCTTGCACCAAGAAGCCTAGCTCAGTGGCGCACGCCTAAAATCCCAGCGCCTTGAAAGGCGGGAGGATCGCGAGTTCAAGGCAAATCTAGGCAATTTTGCAAAACCCTGTCCAAAAAAAAAAGGAAAGGAAAAAAATCTTTTCAAGAGGGCGGAAGTGTAGCTCAGTGGTAAAGCACACCTGGGTTCAATACCCAGTACCCCGCCCCCCAAAAAATAAAGGAAAAGAAATCCCACAGTAGACAGGCCAGAAGACACTCCCCAAAACTAACGGCCACGAGTGTTCAGACTCAGCGCCACTGCGAAGCATCCAACGACGGACAGCGACCATGGACAACTCGGGCCAAGGCCCGCGAGCTGGGGCGTGCGCGAAGGCAGGCAGCCGGGACCGGCGACCCAGCCCGCTCAGCGCCCCGCCAAGCACCTGCGACCGTGGGTCTGTGCCACAGCGCCGGGCTCCGGCGGGGGGTCACACCGGGCTTGGGAGCTCGGGGAACCGGGGTCCGGGTTCTGGAGCGGGGCTTGGGCTCCAGGGCTCCCGGGGAAACCCGGGTCGGGTTCGGATGCTCTAGGACACTGGGAGCTTGGGGGCCAGGCTTGGTCACCAGCGCGCTCAAGGGGAACCAGGGACCAGGCTCCAGAACCAGGACGCTCAGAAAACCGAGGACCCGGGTCAGGCACCAGCGCGCTTGGGGGCCGGGCTTGGGCACCAGGGGCCGGACTCCGGCACCAGCACGCCTCGGGCACCGGGGGAAGGGGGGTACAAGGGCGCCGCGGCCTGGCCGCGAGCAGGGGCGACGGGCGGGCCGGGACAGAGACCGTTGGCGGCTCTGCAGTTCGGTCCTGCCGCCACCGTCTCCGCCCACTGTGAGGGTCGCCCCCGGCAGAGGCGCAACCCCGAGGGGGGGGGACCCTGCCCCCGCCCCCGCCCCGGCCAACCCAGCGGAGCTCACCTGCCTCGCGCCGCYGCCTCAGGCCTGGTCCGCGCCGCCCAGGCCAGTCCCGAAGGATCCCGCCGTGCCAGCCAATCGCGCGCTGCGCCGGGGCCAGGGACGGGAGCAATGCGAACGTTAGCCAATCCGGAGCCCTCCACCTAAAGCTCCCAACCAATGAAGAGACAGCTGCGGGCAGCGGACGCAAGGGCCGGGCCSGGCCGGCGCTAGGGAAGGGCAGGAGGGAAGGGCGGGACCCGGATTGCGTTGCGGGGCGGGGTAGGCGCGCCTAGAAAGTGGGTGGGGGGGGTGTTCGCGTTTTCGGGTGTTGAGATGTCTTGTTGGAGGGTCACATTTCCCCAGGGGGTCGCATCGGAGGAGGGGTTTTACCTCCGGGTCTTTCATTCTAGTGACGGGTCTTTCGGGGAAGGGTCTTATCTTCGGCCAGGGTCTCAGGTCCCGAACGAGGTCTCTCCCCAGAAGGGGCGCCCCTCCTCTGCGGTGCTCTCTAGGAGCCCAACTCCCCTCCTGGCCCTGCCGGCGTCACTCCTSGGTCCCCCTGCCCCGCTGCAGCCAAGCCCTTTCAGATCCACCCAGCCAGAGGGTTCTTGCTGCACCCCGCGCTGTGACCTTCCCTGTGCAGCTGCCCTGAGCTCCATCCCAGTGCCTCTGCCGGGGTCAGGGGCCCCCTGGACTGTGCCGCTTTGGGACCGTGCATCTAGTGTCTTCCTTCGGCGGGACAAGCACCCCAAGAGGCTGGTACCTACTGGAGACAACGTGAACCTCCTTTTGGTTTCTCTCTTGGCTGCGTGAGGGACACGGATGGTGGCGGGTGGGGGCGGCTGACGGCTACGAATTGTAGGTCTGCCCTTGGATTTTCACTAGTGCCCTTTCCTATGCGCCTGGGCAAATATGGGTTGGTTGTCTGCATTTTTTAATTGAAATATAATTTATAGACACCATACGGTAACCTTTTTACAGTGCTTTCCTTGATTTCTTTTGACAAATACATGTAGTTGTATTTGTCTGATGCCATAATAGAAATATGGGACATTTTCCTCACTCCAAAAAGTTCCCTCCTCCCCTTGGGGTCACTGCCCTCTGCCCAACCCACCCACTGTCTTCTGTCCTCTATCCCTGCCTTTCAGAAGGTGTTGCGAATGGAATACCTTAAACATGGTTTCTTTTACTTAACCTGAACCTTTTTTTTTCCCCCTTCTTCTTTTGAAGTGGGCTGTCTCCAGGCTGGCCTCCAACTCCTGGGCTCAAGCAGCTAGCTCCTCTCACCCTCCTAAGCAGCTGGAACAACAAGCAGTTGCTCTTGTGGGCAACTTTTGAACCTCATCCATGTTGCACGTATCTGTCCCCCTTATGCACTAGTATTCTACAGTTTGTTGATCTGTCCCATTTAGTAGTTGACAGGTTTACAAAGGGCCAGTTGGTAGACATTTGAGGTATTATGGGCCATGTGGTCTCCATAGCAAATGTTCAAATCCACATTAGGGAAAGTAGGTGCACACAGTTATGTGCCAGGGAAACTTCACCACAGGCGGCTGGCTGGCTCCACAGGCCCTGTGGCTATAGTCTGTTGGTGGACATCTGGGTTTTTTCCAGCTTGGGACTATTATGATAGAAGCCTCCATAAATCCCTTCACAGATAGACATTTCTCATATGGACATTTCTCTTGGTTCTCTAGGTTTATTATCTGTTCCCTACTTTTCTCTTGATAATAGTTTGGATATACAAAATTTGACTTTTTTAGTAGTGCATTTGTTTCAGCTGCATGTACGTTACTGTTCCAACCCTAGATTATATCTCTTGTTCAGTCTAATCCGTAGGGGAGAGATTTTGACACACGGTTGTATCCTGCAACCAGAGCCCACTACCTGAGTCTCTTACTAGAGATGACAGACATTCAAATCCTAGGCTTCACCCCTGAGAGTGCTGGCCAGCATGCACCCAGACTGAACAAGGAAGAAACAGGAGGTTTGGGGGGGCACTGTGTCCATGAACCTTGGTCTGGGTTTCTCTGCCTGGACAGCCTCACTTCAGAGGAAGACACTGGCTGCACACTGTGCTCCCATCTGCCCTACGATGTCTAGCAGGACAAGTGGTATGGCCATTCCCGTTTCTCAGCAAGGGAAACTGAAGCAGGCTCAGATAGCAGCCTGTCTGGAGTGAGACTGGCACAGGGACTATGTGACCAGGCAGGGCTCTCTGTCATCAAGACCACTGTCTGCTGCAGGGCCTGGGGCAGCCAGGCTTGTTTTGCTAAGCTCCCAGGAGGCAGGAATGTTTATTTCTCGGTGATCTCACACCTCAGACTTGGCAGCATTTCTGCCTTTCAGTTGTAAACAGAACCCGATTCCTGAGAGAGGGGTAAGGTCAGGAGGGAAACCTGAGCTCAGAGGCTTCGTGCCATCTGGCTTAGGGTGCTGCACAAGGATCAGGGGGCAGGGCCAGCAGAGAACTGGGTGAAGGAAAATAAAGCAGCCGACCCTCGACCCTCGGGCTCCTGAAATCCCTTCCTCTTAAGGAAACAATTGGGCTTCTCCACGTGCTGGTCCTCAGCCTTCTGGCTTCTGGTTCCTGCTTTAACACCACAGAGGAAATGGTCTCTGTCCCTGGTGGTTGTGCCCTGTGGCTAGCGGGGAGGCTCCTAGTCCTGCTGTGGTTTGGGGCGTGGAAGTCCTTAGAGAGTGGTAAAAGAACTAGGCCGTGAGGTGAGATGACCTCCCTTAGCCAGCTTTTCCAAAATCCAGAATTCTTACACCAAAGGTCACTACCAACAAGGGCTCCTCTCAGTTTTGGCTTGCCCTGCATCCCTACAACTACTACCAAAAGCATTGCTCAAGATGAGAGCAGTCCTCGTTCCCACAGGTGGGGTATGTCCCTTTGGTGCAGAGCTTTGTGAGAGGGACTCACCTTAGGTGGCAGGACCTGGAGAGACTCCAGGAAGGGTTTTCCCTCTCAGTTTCTGGAGGCTCCAGGCGTTCCTGGGTCTGCGGCCATAGCACACAGAAGTCAGTCTTTGCCGGGCTCTCACTGGGTCTCAGTGTCTCCTCTTTCTTCATTTCTCCTTTAACTAAAGGACACTTGTCATTAGATTTAAGGCCCACCCTACACCAGGATGAGCTCATTCTGAGATCTCTACCTTAATTACATCTGCAAAAACCCTCATCCCAAGTGAGTTCACATTCAGATGCTCTGTCTTTTGGGGGCCACTGTTCAACCTACTACAGGTGTTTAACAAAGAGACATCCTGTCCCTGAGTTCTGCACTAAGTAAACCCGCTTGCTCTTTTTTCTTCAGCAACTGAGAAGGTTTTCTCAGCTTTCTGCACTCCCTCCCTCCACCCAGTCTCTTCTGCCTGAGCCCATCCTCGCCACACTGCAGAAATCACTCACTTGGGGAGGCCACTAGCAGCTCCCATTAACGAAGTTGGGGGCTAGTTCTCAGGCCCCGGCGTCCCTTAACTTTTGGCATTTGACCCTGGCCGTATCTGGATCTCCACCTGTCCCTGGCTTCTTTGTGACTTCTTTTCAGGATCCTTCTGTCCCTCCCACCACCAGAGGTGGATGTCCCTGAACCCCAGATACAAATGTCTCCTACCTGCTCTTGGGGTATCTCGTAGCATCTCCAGCTTGACATGTCCAAATTGGAATTCCTGGCCTCACTCAACCCTTACTTCCCAAGTCTTCCTTCCTCACATCAGTCAAGGACAACCTGTTCCTTCTTTTCCTGAGCCCAAAGCCCTGAGGTCCCCTTGGTCCCTCCCTTTGTCACATACACCCTTGGGTGATGTGCTGACTCTGCCTTGAAAACAGATCCAGGATCTTGTCTGCCCTCGGCTGCTAACCCAACCCAAGCCACTCTCAGCCCTGGCTGGATTACAGTGGCCCCACACAGCTGGCCTGGCCTCCCTGCAAATTAGCCTTCGGATTCCCCCAGGTAGTACGGCAGCTGGGCAGGTCCAATCATTCCAGACCCAACCTATGGGGGCTCCCAGGAGAAGCCCAAGGCCTGACTGTGACCTTCAATGACCTCTGCCCTCTTTTTACTTCATTGTTTTTCAATTTAGGTAAAATCCATGTGACATATAATTAACCATTTTATGAGAATGTTCAAAGATACAGTCACTATGGAAACCAGTATGGCATTTCCTCAAACATTTAAAAACATGCCAAGTTCGAGGGTGCACACCTGTAATCAGAGCTGCCTGGGAGGATCCCAAGGTTGAGCCTGGCCTGGGCAACTAAGTGAGACCCTGTCTCAAAATAAAAAGGGCTGGGAATGTTCCCAGTGGTAGAGAATCCCTGGGTTCAGTCCCCAGTACCCCCCCCCACATACAATCAATTAAAAATACAATAAGCATAATTACCATAGGACCATAGCATCCAGCAATTCCAACACTGGGTCTACACCCAAAAGAATTGAAAGGAGGGTCTCAAAGAGATAATTAATTAGTCACCTATGATCACTGCCTGAAGGCAGAAATCACTCAAGGGTCCACCTATGATGAGTGGATAAAGAAACTGTGGTGCACACCTGTAATCCCAGCAGCTTGGGAGGCTGAGGCAGGAGGATCACAAGTTTGAGGCCAGCCTCAGCAACTTCATGGGACCCTGTCTCAAAAAATAAAAAGGGCTGAGGATGTGACTCAGTCATAAAGTGCCCCTGGGTTCAGTCCCCGTACTGAAAGAGAGGGGAAAAAAGCTAACTGTGGTGTACACACGGAGTAGAATTTATCCACCCCCACCTCCAAAAAAGCAGAGGCTGACAAATGCTAATGCATGGTCAAATCTTAAGGACTTGATACTCAGTCAAATAGCCAGACACAGAGGGATCAATCGTGTGATTCCATTTCTGTGAGTTCCTGGAGTGTCAGATCTAGAAACATGAAAGCACGAGGAAATGGAGTGTTGTTTAATGGGCACAGAGTTTCAGTTTTGCCAGATGAAAAAGTTCTAGAGACCAAGGGTGGTGACAGCTGCACAGCAAGGAGAATGTGTTTCCCACTACGGAACAGTCCACTTAAAAATAGGAGCGAAGGGAGGCACGGTGGTGCATGCTTGTGATCCCCAGTGACTTGGGAGGCTGAGGCAGGAGGACTGCAAGTTGGAGGTCAGCCTCAGCAACTCAGTGAGGCCCTAAACAACTCAGCAAGACTCTGTATCAAATATAAAATAAAAAGTGCTGGGATGTGGCTCAATGGCTAAGTACCGCTGGGTTCAATCCCCAGTATCCAAAATAAATAAATAAAAACAGTAGTGACTGTTACTTTTCTTTTTTTCCCCTCTCTTTCTTAAGTCCTGGGGATTAAATACAGGGGCTCTACCACCAATTTATACCCCGGGTCCTTTTTCTTTTTTTCTTTTTTTTTTTTGGGGGGGGGGGGGTACCAGGGATTGAACTCAGGGGCACTTGGCCACTGAGCCACATCCCCAGCCCTATTTTGTATTTTAGTTAAAGACAGGGTCTCACTGAGTTCCTTAGCGCCTCACTGTTGCTGAGGCTGGCTTTGAACTTGCGATCCTCCTGCCTCAGCCTCCCAATCTGCTGGGATTACAGGCGTGGGCCACTATACCTGGCATGACGGTCACTTTCTGTAATGTGTATTTTACCACAGTTTTTAAAAACTAACCATTTTAAGTATGCACTTCAGTAGAAAGTAGACCATTTATAATGTGGTGCAGCCATACCTACATGGAGTTCCAGATCTTCCATCAACCCAAAAGGAAACCCAGTGTCCCCTAAGGCAGTTACTTAGTCAGTCCCATTGTCCCCTCTGGATTATTTTAACTCATCACTGCTTCACTAATTTATCTCACTTGATGACTGTCTCCCACTGTGAAAACACAGCCACCCCATGGGATGGCCTCTCTCTGTCCTGCCTGCTGCTGGGCACACTTAGGCCTTCATGGGCAGCTTGGTACTGAGCTTCCATAATGAAGACTGAGAGTCTCTGTATCTGAGTGTGCAGCTGGGCAGTGTGGCTTGATGCAGATGAGCTGGTGACCCTGTATGGTGTTTGTAGAAAACACGAGTTAGTAGCCAATATTGAAAGATTAAAGGGCTTTAATATTTTTTCCCATGACTATGTCTTTTTAAATGGGCTTAAGAAAAAAAGAGAAATTAGTAAAAAAAAAATCTACTTTATGAGAAAGAAAAAACAGGATACAGTTTATGCCAACTTGTGAAGCAGAATCACAACACATTCCTGGAAGGGGCCACCCCCACTAAATTGGGGGCCAAATCCCTTAAATAAGGAGCGAGGCCTTTTTTTCCCCCCCAAGCTCACCTTCAGGCAGTGGAGAAGTCCAGGGGACATGACTTGGTTGCTACTGGCTGCAGCCATGGTGTTCAGCTGATCTTCAGAGATAAATTGCCACAGAGATGATTGCAGCTGTGTTTTTACAACTTCCCATGGACATGTCAGAATAGCTCCCTCTGTGCAGCCACGTCCCCGGGCAAACAGATGCTCCAGCCTGTCCTTCTGGCTCATTGTCTCTCCTGCATGTCCTCCGGGCACTGAGACCGGACATGGATCCAGCTGCCCACGATGGCCCGTGGCTTCGATCCTGGGAGGAACTGCAGGACATCCCAGGGACAGCTTGGGGAGCCGGTGGAGACCTGGCGGCAGAAGGTCCCAGTGTGCCTTCCCTGCTGTGCTGCAGCCGAGCCACTAGGCACTCTCAGCTTGGCACTCTCAGGCAGAGACCCAGGACTCTAATATTAAAAATCTGTTCTTCCAGCCAGGCACAGTGGCACATGCCTATAATCCGAGTGGCTCGGGAGGCTGAGGCAGGAGGATTGAGAGTTCAAAAAGCCAGCCTCAGCAAAAGCAAGGTGCTAAGCAACTCAAAGAGACCCTGTTTCTAAGTAAAATACAAAATAGGGCTGGGGCTGTGGCTCAGTGGTGCCCCTGAGTTCAATCTCCAGTACCAAAAAAAAAAAAAAAAAAAAATCTGGGTTTTCTAACTTCTCTTGAGAAATCAGAGTGGCTGCCAGTACCAGCCTGTACCATGGTCCCACCCAGTGGGCAGATGGGTGGGGCTTGCTCCTCTCCAGGGGTCCAGCTGCAGACATATTCAGCCCTCAGACATTTGAGGATTTGTAGGGCTCAGAAACTAGTCAGCCAGGCGGCCCAGGCCACCCGGAAAGCAGGGTCTCGTGTGGATGGAACCCTCCATCCGACTGTAAGCCCACCTGTCCAGGGCTTTACCTGTTGAGAGAAAGGGGTGAGATGAAAACAGAGGCAACAAGGGACCAGCCAGACTGGGCTTCTGTTCTGGTGGCGAAGCATGGTCCTGGGCCCTTGGGCTCAAGGCCACCTGCCCGAACTTGCCTAGGAAAGTTAGAGGGCTGGGGACCTCAGACACAGCTCTGACAGACCCCGAAAACACAGGACTACAAGATATAATAGATCATTCCACACACATACCAGCACTATTTGTATTTTATTTATAAACACAGAAAACACGAAAGAAAGGTGTTTCTTTGAAAACAGGTACCGTTTGGTATCATTTACCTCTCTGGCACATAAATGATGTTTTTAAATCAAACAACCATAGAGCTAATTAACAACGGCAATCAGTAGGAATCTTTAGTGGGAATAGTGAGAAAAAATAATATATCTTCTTATAATCCTTAGTGCATACTAATTCTACAAAATAAAAATTACATGCATACATATATATTTTTTTGTTATTAGGGATTGAAACCAGGGATGTGTTACCATTGAGCTACACCCCCCACCCTTATTATTTTTAATTTCAAGACAGGGTTTTACTAAATTGCTGAGGCTGCTCTCGAATTCAAGATCCTCCTGCCTCTGCCTCCCGAGTCGCTGGGATTATAGATGTGTGCCACTGCACCCAGCTAAAAAATAATATTTTCTGATTCATAAATTTAAAGCTTTTAAAAATTCTTTATTAGATATTCAAATCTCATGGGCACGAGAAATATGTAAAAATACAGTTATTGAGGAAACTACAGATTCACCTAAGCGATGAGATGTTTTTCGGGACACAGTACGATATCATGACCAGGACACAGACAGGGAACATCTATCTGCCAGTCCTACTCAGATGCCCCCCAGCTCACTTCTAGTCATTTATGCACCAGGGAGTCATCACTGCGGTGGTCCTTTAAACCCCAACCACTTGTCTGCCCTGAGTTTCTAAAATTCTGATTTCCACGACATCATATAAATGAACCGGGTGGTATGTGCCATTTCAAGGTGAACTTTTTTCATTCAGCATTAAACTCTCTGGAGTTTCCTTCAGGTTGTATGGATCAATCTTTTGTTCCTTTCTAATGCAAGATTCAAAAAGGAGAAAACAAATCACAGTGGGGTTAATGAAACAATATTGCCTGTGTTTCATAAAAAAATGGCTCATTTCTATCTGTCCCCTGAGGTGGCAGGATTTTCACCTGGTTCCCTGTCCTGACCATCTGTCTCTGAACTGCCCAAGGCAGCAGTGTCTTCTTCCTTTGCACAGCAGAACAGAGCACAGCAACATGCGTGACCCCATGCACAGCTCTACCATGTGAAGTGCTGACCCACTCGTGGCTGGCAGTGCGCATTGTGGTGCCACCTCCCCAGAGCCCAGGCTGGACTTGTGGGGATTAACTTCTGCCTCTAAGAAAATGTTCATCCAAGGCTGGGTGCTGTGGTGCACACTTGTAATCCTATCGACTTGGGATGCTGAGGCAGGAGGATCGCAAATTCAAGGCCAGTCTCAGCAACCCATGAGACTCTGTCTCCAAATAAAAAAAATAAGGGGCTGGGGTTGTGGCTCAGTGGTAGAATACATGGCATGTATGAGGCACTGGGTTGGATCCTCAGCACCACATAAAAATAAATAAAGTTTTTTTTTT